ATAAACATATTCCAAAAATTTATTCAAATATTATATAAATAAATCTAGATTTTCAAAAAATTATTTCACATTTTCACATAATTATTAATTCCACCCAAGTCCTCATAAGAAATTTTTTTTGACAAAATCGTCTCCCTTAAGCAAAAATTCATAATTTCATCTTAATCCAATGTCCTTTCAATCACTTTACAAATAGCTTACAATTCTTTGAAAAATTCATAAGTCTAATATGGAAATAAATAATGAAAATTGTAAAAAACACAAAACCAAAAATTACGCATTCGCCGCATACAAAATTCTGTTTCAAGCCAAATAGTGTGCAGCAGCTGCCCCCTCAGTCAGCTGTAAGCACGTAAAGCGGTCAAAATCCTAAAAAAAAATATATCAGGGCTGAATTAGGACAAGGGCGAACAGGATGTAAGGGGAAGGCAAAAGGCAAAAGCCGAAAACCGTCAAGTTTAGAGCGGAAAAAACAAGTGAAAAGAATTAAAAGCGACAGCCGCGACGACTGTGGCCCAGCGGCTGTGGTCGCGACATTCGGCCGTCTCTCTGCCATGGCCTGCTTTTTGTTTTTTTTTTTTTTCTGCACCCGCAACTCGATTAGCATTCAGAGATTTGTTCGGCACTCCCTCTGCAGCCGGCAGCCGGCTCTCTGGCCCACCTCAATCCACTCCACATGCCTGTCTGCTGTGGGCCCCTCGCGTTGAGTTAGGCCGCACTAAGAGTTATTAAATTTTGGACACATTTGCATCCAGCTCCAATAGTCCCACAGGACTAGCTCCAAATGGACTAAACGCTGAAAAGCTTAGCGCAAATTGAAATAAATTAAATTGCATTTTCTTTTCTACATGCTCTAAAAGAGGGTATTCGAACTTAGTAAAAAATATGTGAACATAAAATCTATTATATTTTGTTATCAGAAATTTAATTCTTGTTTATCTGTCAGTCTAGCATTTAAGCATATTATAATTAAATTTCCTTAACAGGTGTATACGCATATACGATGGCAGGATTCATTTATTAAACTTTATTTATTTAAATCATTTTTTATCTATTAATTTTGCATTGAAATACTCTTACACGTCATTGAATTCATTTGGTTATGAGTTTAAAAAATGAATATATGCCTCAATTATGACTAATAAAAAACGTTGTTAATTTTATTAATGGATTATGGCATTCATATAATTTATCTATATCATGCAACATTACATGCTTATACACATATATATATTTTTTTGTATTTTCTAAAAACTGTTTGGCTCGCTTATCAATTAAAATTGCTTAAATTGCATTAACTGTTTGTTCGGGGACACGACAAATGGGAGTTGCTGATGCTGTGTGACCTAAGCGTTATATTTCATTCAATTAAAACGAGTAGGGGCCTAGACAACAGCAACAACAACAACAGGGGACAACAGCYGCTGTTATTTTCTTTTTTACATATATACAAAATATTTAGGTTTATTAATAATAATGCAATTACGCATAAAAATGTTTTAATTTATTTCAATTAAGCGTTAATTAAAAGCTGTGTCGCCTGTTTGTGTGTTGGGTGCGAGCCATTTGCCATTGCATATTTAAAGTACGATGCCTATGAATACACACGCACCCATACATAAATATAATAAATATGTACATATCCATCTAGAATTGTGAAAGGGCCGAGAGAGCTGAGAGGCCACAGCGATCAGAAACTTTCCCATTGCTCAGACTGTCAAGTGAATGGGGTTAAATTACTTTCTCAAGCTAGGCATATATGAGGCTATACTATATGAGTCATAGGCGGAAGCTTTAGGAGCTGCATTAAGTGAAAAATTCCAGAAAGCAGAGTGGCACGATAAGTAACAGAAGATGTGATGAACAGTCGTAAATAACAGATGCCCCTGAAATATTGATTATGTCCTATAAACGTTTCTATAAACTAAGTCTCTATTTGAAATAATATAATCTGGATTTCAATTACATCAAAATATATGTCTCCACATTACATTTCGTTTAAGAGTTTGTTAATATAAAATATGTATATTTCAATTCTTTAGACCTTGAATAAACATTTCACCCTTTTTTACTTTGCTCAGCCTTGCCTATGTTTCAATTAATGAATAGGATATCTTCCAGTCTAATATACTCCACAATATTCTCAATATATTAACTCTATATTCTACTATTTTACATATTTTAATGAATAGGGTATCTTCCAGTCTAATATACTCTACAATAATCACAACTGTTTCCCATTTACTTGCAGTAGCTGCGGCTTTCGTCCAGTGCTCAGCGAGCAGAGCGCTGTGGCCGCAGCAGCAGCCGCCGCGGCAGCGGCTCAGCGGAACGCGAATCATCCACCGTTATTCCTGCCGCCGCATCTGGCGGCTCAGTTTTCGCATCAGCCGCTCTTTCCGGGACTCAAAGGTGGGTGGACTAATGGCATAATCTCTATCGATGGGCTGTCAATCAAAGCGTCAATGCGCCAAAGAAAAATCAAAAGCAATTGCTAATCAAATTAGCAGCTGCTGCCGGCGCCAAGATGATGATGCATTGACATCAAAAACAATTTTCAAATTGATAATTTCAATTTAAGCAATAATCTTCGTTCTCCCACAGGTGTTTCGCCGTTCCAGAGTCTCTGCTCGTGCTGCTCGCTGAAGCCGCCGCCTATGCCGCCGTCATCCACGGCTTCGTCTTCGGTGATGGCGCCTCTCAGCGTCCCTGTGAGCAGCAGCTCGGCGGCCAGCTCGCCAGAGTCGCCCAAGTCCAGTGGGGGTAGCTCGCACGATCCACGCTCCAATTCGGTGGCGGAGCTGCGACGCAAGGCGCAGGAGCATTCAGCTGCGCTGCTGCAGTCGCTGCATGCCGCAGCTGCTGCGGGCTTGGCCTTTCCGGGTCTCCACTTGCCGCCGCTCTCGTTCGCCCATCATCCGGCGCTGGGGCACGCCGTCAACCACAACAATAACAACAACAACAACAACAATGCGCTGCGCATGAAACACGAGGCACAGGACATGACGGCCAGCACCATGAATGGTTTGGGTCCGGGCGGTGGTGCAGGCGCCACTAGCTCCACATCGGCTGCTCTGCTTGATCTAGCCGAATCGGCAGCGGCCTATCATCATCATCAACAGCAACAACWGCAGCAGCAGCAGCAGCAGCAGCAGCAACAGCAACAGCATCAGCAACAGCAGCAGCAACAACAGCAACAGCAGCAACATCATGCCACTTTGTCGCCCCCAACCACGCCCACGCAGCTACAGTCCCAGCAGCTGCCACCCACAGCCACTGGAGTGCGTCCCGAGTCGCCGGCAGCCACAGCAGCTGCCATCAATGGCAACGCGCTGCCAAGCAAAACCGAATAAGCAGCATTATAATAATAATTATTAATTTTTAGATTATAAAAACTATATAAATACATACATATAAATCTATACCATGTGGCGGACCTAGCATTTAAGCATTAGTTTTAGGCTTCAAGAGGGCAACACACACACACAATAAAAACTCACATTCGAAATACTTTTAGATTACTTAGCTAGACTTTTAGAGATTTGCAGGTAGCAAAGCAGCTGAAAATCTCAGCATACGAGATCCTAAGCAAAGGAGAGGCAAGGAGAGAGAGAGAGAGAGAGGGAGAGAGAGAGATAGTAAGAGAGAGCGAGCTCTATCAGTTATAGAAAAACTTGCACACACTGAAGAATTTTGTTTAAAAACAAAATTATTTTAAACTATTAAAATAATGTATAAATTAAAAAAAAACCTTCATTTAAAGGCTTAAATCATTAAAAAAAAAAAAAAAATAATAAAATTTTCCAAACTAAATTCTAAATATTTCTCTGATACATCTCTCGCGGTTAGAGCTGACATTGACCTGTAGCCTCATAGTCGAGATTTCAGCTGGCAGAGCCACTTCAATTGATTATAAATATCAACAATAATAACAAACATATGCATCACAATATATAGTATATATATAATAAACATATACTCTTGTATAGAATGAACAGATAGCTAAGAAATCAGACATCTGCCTAGACTAGACTTATCTCACTGCAATAAAATCAAGCCAACAGCAACAAGAAACGCATAGAGCCACAAGTATTGACAACCACACAGTTAATTAACGTTAAATCAAGTTAAATAAAACAATAAATGATCATATTAAAAAATTTAAACAAAAACAATTTTTTATTTACTCAAGCATTGGAAATGATTTCACTCAAACTTTGCAGGTCTGCTCACAAAGGCTCTGCGACTCGAAGAGATTGTTGTTGCCATGGCAGCCACTATAGTTGAAGGAGATGCACTCATTGGTCTCCTGGCGATACGACCACATCGGCTGCAGGGCACGACAGGTGCCGATCTTAGCAAACTCCTCACCGCAGACAGCTGAACAAAGAGACAAAAGTTGAGTTAGAGCGAAGGGCAGGATTAGTTTTTGAGTCACAGTTTTATCAGCAAATGTCATTTTGAATGAAAATAAAATAATATTAAATATTCGTGTATAAAATGAGCAGGTGGCTAATCAAACATCTGCTTGAAGCAACAGCGATAAGGAGTTCATCTATATATAATTCTGTCTGTCATAAATAATGATGAAATAATAATTTCTACTTCACTTTCAAATCAAGCACAAATGACATACAAAATTCTGTCTAGGCTTCTACAGTATGTTCATGGTATTCACAGCAAACAGACTCCAGCGAGGTGTGTTCGAGAACTTACGATTCTTCAAGGTAGCCAACACAGAGCCCAAGAGGGCGCACAGCAGCAGCAGCACAGCGAAGTATTTCATCTTGAATTGAGCTTGGGTATTGAACTGATATTTGGTCACTGTTTCGATTGCAAATGAGCTTGGAGCCGGTATGTGGGGCTCGTTATATATGGGCAGAAACCGGCTGGAGTCATTTGAGTGGGTCAAGCGAGCAAACAAAACCTTTAAATTAATGTGAATTTTTGTTTGTTTATTTTTCACAACAAGTTACGCTTCGCTTATTTAATAACTATTTATTTACTTTTATTTTTTTATTTTGTTGGGTTTTCTGTCGATTTTTACTGAATTTCTGGCAGCACTTGCAACCGGTTTGAGATGCCTCAATGGGATGAGCCAAATTAGTCCTTGCAGGCCTTTTCGCATTCACTTTTGCTGCCAAATTGATTTTTATTGCCGCCGCAGCCACCAAAGACGAACTCAATGCATTCATTCTTGGACGAATCGTAGGTCCAGCTGGGCATATAGGCCATGCAGGCAGCGCCATCCTGTTCCATGCCGGACTTCGAATGCTGCTCACTGCACATATCTAAGAGGAAATGGATGCTTCGATTCGAGTATGTGCAAGAATCTCTCACAGATCCACCCACCTGGCTTGGCGCTCACCATGCCAAGGCACAGCAGCCATCCAAGCATCGTAAGCCACAAATAGTCGTACTTCATTTTACAATTGAAACTGCAATTGCTGCAGTCCACAACTGGGCTATATAAAGCCCCGTACATATAGCAGACTTCTAAGACATTTGCAGAAGTACAGCAGAAGTAGATGGTGTGGGGCTTATCTGTGCTGTACTCAGAGCCGAACGGAATGGGTCAACATGGAAAGCCCCCATCGATAACAGCACGGAACTCTAGCTCTAATCTACCCAGGGTCTACATATTGAGCTGAGATAACCAACAAATCATATAGTTAGAGCCTACTCAATGCACTTTTCATGACATTTTATATATATTTGGCCGACTAATTTACTCATATTTGGCATATATTTCTATAAGAGAATAGTCTCATTATGAAGAAATGGTTATACTTTTTATAATATCCCATATATCCCATATAATATGATTTCTGTTTGTATTGATAAAATTAATATAATTTTCTTTTATTTTTTATGCCAATCAAAATAATTTTTTTTTAAATGTATATTTTTCAAAATTTGTCAAACTTTGATTATTGTTGTAAAACAAAAAATAATTAAACGAATTTTTTTGAGCAATTCAATGGGAGTACTTGAAACAGCTTTCAATAGACAAGACCCTGACCTGTAGTCTCGTAGTTCTCTTCACTTGATTATACTTACTTATTATTATTCTATTATACAATTTAAAAAAAAATGTATATTTTTAATTTAAATAAAATATATATAATGATCCGATAGCTAACAAATCAGAGTAGACCTGTCTCAAGTCTACAACAACTAGTATATTTGAATAAAACACTTATTGCTCAAATGAATATGGAAAATTATAAATACAACATTTATTTAAGCAGCTTGTAAAATTATTTCACTCAAACTTTGCAGGTCTTCTCGCAGAGGCTCTTCGACTCGAAGAGATTGTTGTTGCCTTGGCAGCCGCTATAATTGAAGTTGATGCACTCATTGGTGTCCCGGCGGTAAGTCCACATCGGCTGCAGGGCACGACAGGTGCCGATCTTGCCAAACTCCTCACCACAGACAGCTGATGTAAGAGGAGAAGAGTTAAGTTCAATCAATAAATGAAATGAATGAATGGAAATAAATCAGCAATATTTATATAGAGATCGCTCGTAAATTATGTTGGCTCTATTCGTAGTTTTTGAATCAGTAATATTATTTATTCAGATATTGGTTTCACATATGAAAACTTACGATTCTTGAGGCCAGCCAATGCAGAGCCCAAGAGGGCGCACAGCAGCAGCAGCACAGCGAAATATTTCATCTTGAATTGAGTATAAGTTTTCAACTTAGATTCGATCACTAAATCGATTGCAACTGAGCTTGGAGCCGGCATGTGGGGCTCGTTATATATGGGCAGAAACCGGCTGGGACCTTATCTGTGGGTCAAGCGGCGCTCTCTGTGCAAAAGCAACAAACCTTCAAGTTATAGTAAAATTTTGCACAACAAGCTGTATTCAGTTTAATTAATAAAATAAGTATTTGTGCTCGGACTCATTGGGTTTTTCAGCACTTCGAACTGGTTGCATGAAGTCCTTGTCCTCCTCTCCAGATCTGTTGTATATATATATGTATTTATTTAGTAAACCTAGCGTAGCCACGAGAGATGCAATCATGCAGTCTCAAAATGCTTTTGGAGTCAACATAGCGCCAACTGGTCAAATATCGCGTCCCTTGAGGCTTGGGTAAATTCAATAAAACTATAGCTGTTGAAGTAATAGAGATAGAAGAAGGTCTCAGTGCTGCATTGCTCGTGTAGTTGTGTAGAACTTACATGAATTTTAACAATTGACTTGAATACAATACAATAATACAATATTGAATGAAAATGAACAATAGTTTGTATTAAATTTATATTTTTATTTGTTAATCAAATCCATTTAAATTCAGAAATTATATTCTTCAATAGATTTCTGTCATTTATTCCAAGCACTTTTCCTCACAAAGTTCTTTGGTGTCGAAACGATTGTCATTACCGCCGCAGCCGCCATAGATGAATCTCACACATTCTTTAGCTGCCGCATCATAGCTCCAGCTTGGAAAGTAGGCTTCACAGGATATGCCCCCAGCACCATCTGCAGAATGTGGCAGACCGCAAAGCTCTAATTGCAAATTACATGTAATTAAAAAAATAAATA